AAAGGTCGGCCAGTCAGCAGTTTAGAAGATGCATGTAAACGTAAATGTCAAAAGGCGTCTGAGATGTAAAACAAGGCTTTTGCATTTGTCATAAATTGATTTGTCAGTTCTCATGCAACATTTTGATTCACATTCATGAAGAGTTTAGTGTTTTAAAGCAGCTGATGTTAAAGTAAAGAGGGTCCCTGATTATAACCCTTTGATAAAGCAGCTGGTCCGTCCTAGTGGTACGAGATGTTTTATGCTTCACTGAATTGAACAATATTAAATTGTGGAAATTCAAATTGAGATATTGAACCACTTGTGCAATGAATGCACGCACAGATTCCCCTCCGTTAGCAGCAAGTCAGTGCTGCAGAATGTGAGTAAAACACACCGTGACAATTATTCTTTGGTCCGAATAGGATCGCTCTGATTTCATCCTCAATTGCTTCAATTGCTGAATCTGACTCACAAAACCAACGTCCTGCCAAAAAAAGCACGTGATTATCTACAGCTCATTAGAAATAGAGGACAGAGAAGTGAAACACTATTTTTCGAGGTCTCTCCTCTGCATTTGAAAAGTCAACAGCAGCTTTGGGTTTAAGAGTTGTTGGATCTTTGCTCTTCAGGATCTAATGTCTGGCTTCTGTCTGATCGACGTCCAACTCAAACCTCCAGTTGGGCTGGTTGAGCCAGTTTAGAGGGAAATGTAACCGCGGCAACTGGATTGGGACTTTTTAGACTGGAGAAATGATTTAGAGTGACCCACTTTTGACTTAATAAAGTTAATGATACACATCACTTTTATGTCATTTTATATATGAGGATCGATACTGAAGCTAAAATGTATGACCAGCTGAATCATTCATCATCACACATCGTTACAGAGATCTATGGCTGTCAAGCAATAGATCAGAACCAATGAGAGCAAAGCATGAGCGTTACAGCGTGTTACACAAAGGTCCCCTTATCCTACCGTAGCAGTATCTCTATGGAAAGATACATTCATGTCCAAATACCATGGTGTCATGGTTACATCAGGTTACACATCTGGGTCATATTCAAACCCCCAGGAAGAGCGCCGGGCTTTGAAGCAAATTTTACATAGTGTACAATGATAATATACGACTGACTCGGTCACGTGATGCCATGGGGGCCAAAAATACTTTTTCCCATAGACTTACATTAGGGGACGAGCCGCCTGTAATTCAGCAGTGGCGAATATACTTTCAAGTACAAGTAATTGAATAGCTTTTATTCAAACCTATACATCCCATACAAAAGTTGTGAAATGAGCTATCAGCCGGATCTAGAGTTATTTCCCTCGCTCCATTCATGTGAATGAGCCCAGCGGCTGGGAGCCGGGGTTGAAGGAAACGTGCTTGCTCTATGGGCTCCTTGGATGCAGAACATCGGCGTAAGTATTTTTATACTCGGAATTCAAACTTTTCTTTGCTTCATGTGCCACTGAGCAACTTTCATAGAAATGAATGGGGCGCCGCCTCCAACGCTGTATCAGTTCTCTTTATAAGTCCGTGGTCATCTTCTCTCTTTAGCTCTTAGTGTACGCACGGGTATCCATCAGAACAGTCTTAAGCCCAACAGACTACATTGTTCTTTACTGTCCACAATATGAAAGACATAATGTAACATACTTGTGATTTTGTGATGTCTATTGTCACCAAAAGCATTCGGATTCATCCACTGATGATTATGAGTGGAACACTTTGACCCGATGGTGGTGCAAAATGAAAGGTCCTGCTGCAGCTTAAAGCCCGTTACACTCTTGAAAAATCACAACAATGACTGTAGATACAAACGGTCAACTCGGGGCTCCACTCGTCTGCGTCTAAGAATGTGATCTTGGGACAATACGGTAATAGTTTTACCAGTTTTCCTTCTCCGAGTAAATGGTCTGTGACTGGAAGTGGAGGCTGTATATCTGTTAGCAGATCAGGGTCAGTGTCTGGAGCACTAGCAATATCTGACAGCATGTATTTTGTTTCGTGGGAGGTCACTGGCGGAGGCCCGTCGCCTCACCTGACTTCAAACGAGACCAATCGCGTCACTACGGAACGCCAGGGTCATAAAACTGATGAGACGGTGCCCTCTTAACAAGCTGTATTTACATCTGTTATTATGGCTAGGAAACAGTCCAGCTTTTCTTTTTTTTTTTTTTTTCTTCTCTTGCACAGCTGAAACCTGAATTACTATTGCGCTGCTACCTCACTTAACTACACGGGTGCCTGTTTGTGGGCTGTAAAGATACACATGTGTTGCCATCTATCACCGTCATTACTCTGGACTTGGCGGAGGCCCGGAATAATAAAAGATCCAAAGCTACCCCTCTTTAGCCCGTGAGCCCTGTGCCAATCTGTTTAGTCTACAGTCCGGAGTCTTCAGGGAGACAACTGGAGCAGCTGAAAGCCTCCTCCTGCAGAAGGCCGTTGAAACGCTGAATACCACGGATCTGTATTCTCAGATGCCTCGTAAAAAACATAATCACTCCGTGTAGATAAACGGTCTGACTGACCCCATTTGCATTGCCTGTCACAAAAAAAAACCATGAATAAACTAGTGAATTTAAGAAAGATGTAGGCATTATCAATGTTAAATAGACCACCGCTGTCGCTTGGTTTCTTTTAAGAAATGCATAAAGAAATCGGGCTCTGTAATTCTGGGCACGACTGCTGAAACCCTCCATGTGGCTCTTTTTTTAGATGCTCCTGTACTTAAAGGTGATTCTGAAGTGGCTTATCACATATGGCAGCAATCACACAAATACCCTCAAAGTGAGAATTACTGGGTGTTCAGACCAAATGGCACAGTTTGAAAGAAAAGCGAGGGGCGCAAACACGATCCAGCTTTAAAAAAAAAATAAATAAATAAATGCTATCCAACAGAATGGTTACATTTCTGTCATCTCATCTTCTGCTTTGTCGATCGCACGGCGAGCAGACGCATTACTCTTCATTTTCCGACAACCAGGAATGTGAGCTTCCACTGAAGTTGCATTGTGATGTGATCAAAAATGGGCCTTCATTTTCTCCATGCAGTGCTAACCTGAACTCAGCCTTCGCCTTGGCCATTAATGCTAATTTTACGCAATAATGTTCCTTCTTGCCTTTCTTTTTAACGTTCATGCCTATCCTGTTCTCCATGTAATTACATTTTGAACTGTAATGAGCCGAAACGTATAACCGTGTGAACCCATATCATCACGCATTACCTCAAGATGCTAATAGAAGAATGAAAGTAGCTCAAAGGAGAACCGACACGATGTTTATGTTGGCAGGAAAAAGGTGCTCTTGTGGTTTAAACAAGACTAAACACACCAGAGCATAGTCATCAACTACTGCAATCCAGCTTCGTTAAATACAACCTTTGATTTGTTGTCCACTGCTGTAACACAGGTCGGTGCCAGAACTGACGAGCAACAAGCCAACAATATCAGCTCTCTTCTCCCGTCGGCCTGTTATTGTTGTCTTACTTTACAGAAGCACTGTCAGCTGTATTTAGAGTGAAGGAGGAGGTGTTGATTTGGATGGTGGGGGGGGGGTGACTGGTATGCCATAAATCACCATTGATATACTCTCGCACACTGCAGAGTTATTGCCCGACTAATAGTCTCTGAGTGTCATGACGTACCTACACAGTCACAACGGGTTGGGCGGATGAAGTTATTGTTGGAATTGGATTTAAACTCATAAAATGAGCTCAAATACTCAAATGATGTTTATGATCACATTTGGAAAATGATAGAAGTAGTTTAGTTTTAGTTTTTCTTCTTCAGAATTGAGCTGGAAGTGTTCTTTTACCTTTTGACTGAAGAAAGCGCTGACTGCATCTGACTGACACCAGTGCTGGCTTCACACATTGAGTTAAACACAAGTTCTTTTCCACCACAGAAATGCAAACCGCCAGTTATTTTAATACAGGGCTACAAAGGGGTTATTGTTTTCAAAGTTTGTCTATATTCTAACAAAAAGAAGCAGGAGAACTGTCCTGTGTTTTATATTATGATCAGTTGAGAAACACTGCAGACTAAATGCAGATATGTCATCGGCAACTCGTATAAGATTTATGTTGTTATTTCTCATATGTAAAGAAAATAGTGATTGGACCTCTAATCCAGGAACCAATTGATTGATGTTATTAGATATGTAACCGTATCACATTTTGCTCGTGTTGAGCGCCGCTGCCTCATCCAGGAAGGTTTAGCATTTCCTGTAGGGACTTGTGGGCTGCTGAGATAAAGGAGCACTTGAAAAGTCCTTGTCAACTTGTATTACAGCCACAAAGCTTCCTTCAGGTGATCGACAAAGGAGGAAATTTCTTTTTGAGCGTACCAATTGCTACATTTTGCGGTGGCCTTATCATTGATCCAGTTCATTTAACATATTATTTACCGTTTGAACACCAACGCCTGGTGTATGTGACTTTGTCATGTTCACATTTTTACGCGTTTACAAGGACCATATGAATGCGTCTTTTAAATAAATCTGACCAGAGCCCGATGGCTTGTGAAATACTGATAGAAGGTGTCAGGTGTGACCTTAAAGTTTGAACGAAAGAAGCTGTATTTGGAGCTAAAACCTCGGAACAAGCGTTCTTGCGCTGTTACTACATATTTTCTGAAAATTTTGAATAATTGGGACACATCTTCTGCATATTGTGATACGATGATTCACTGGGGTACCTTTTATTGTGTGCCCTGGCCTGCCGTCGTCCAGTGCATGCTGGGATAGGCTGTCTGTGGATGGACAAGATGGTTCTTAGTCTGGTTAGGACCAGGAAGTGCCAAGATTTCAAATTATGTGAATACAAACTGTGTGCTACTTGTTTCAGTTTGAGGACAATTATTTTCCTCATGGTTTAATGATTCCAGAGAAAAATATAGCCCCGACTTTATTTCCTTGTGCACCATACAGCCATTTCCTCCTCGAGAGTAAAAAGTTGCTACTAGTGATTTATGATTCAAAAAATGAGCAAATGTCTCGATTTGCTCTTCCTCACAGCGGACTACAGCACCAGTGAGATGCTCGTGAACATGGGCAACCTGCCCCTGGACGAGTTTTACCCCGCCGTGGCAATCGTCACTCTGATGCGCATCCTGCGGGACCCCTCGCTCTCCAACCACCACACCATGGTGGTCCAGGCCGTCACCTTCATCTTTAAGTCTCTGGGCCTCAAGTGCGTCCAGTTCCTGCCGCAGGTCATGCCCACTTTCCTCAACGTGATCCGGGTCTGCGACGCCAGTATCCGAGAGGTAGGTAGCGCCACAGAATAAGAGGGGAAGAGGCTGTCTGGTTGATAATGTCAGTTATTCTTCTCAGCAGCGAGTCCTTTACTCTTTTTCCTTCATGTGCTCTTTTTGCTCTCCAGTTCCTCTTCCAGCAGATGGGAATGGTGGTGTGCTTTGTGAAGATCCACATCCGCCCTTACATGGACGACATCTTCACCCTCATCAGAGTGAGTAACTGTGTCAACACCCCCCCCTCCCCCCAAATCCCCTGAACTGATCATCCAGCCGCCCTTATTTTTCTGTGAGGCAGGCAAACAGCTGCAAACTCTTTAATTGCACTCAGTTGTGCTCTCCACCAGACTCATGAGGAGCGATGTGTTCAGGCCCCCTGGATGAAGTCTGGCCCCATGTCACACAGCGGTACACATCGTGTGTGGTGGTGTGGGCACCGTCCAACCAGATTAAAGAGGCTCATTGTGTAGAATGACACTTTCTAGGAGCAGATCAGCTCACGTGACATTCACCCCTTCTCACATGATGTGGAACAACTGCTAAAGCCATAGCCCTTGAACCTGCACAAACACACTTGTCTATGACATAATCACATAGCAAGGCACAAACTATCATATGACATGGCTTTGTAACGGAATCTTGGTAACACTGTTACCGGTAACTCCTCCTGCAGAAAAGTAATTGAGAGAACCGAAACCCCTGCGCCTCAAGTCCCTCTGAGTTAATAAATGGCGAGTGAAACAAAGAATCTATTCATATTTTGCTCCTGCATCCAGATGAGGGGGCTGGAATAGCCATTCAGGATGTACACTCACTCGCTCTTGAGTCAGCTGCCACAGGCTTGGAAAGCAGGAAGTTGGGGGGCTGCTCGAGACCTCTGGCCACTGACTAAACACCTCCGCCAGATCTCACAGCTGAAGCCCATTGACTGACTGACGCATTGCGTGACTTCAAGTCCTCCGCCTTAACTCCGATTGCGATTATATCTAATGAACGCGGCGGCCGTGCCGAGATTTTCCACAAAAGACGGTGTCGTAAGCCACCCAGACGTGATGTCAGTCCCAGTTGACGTGGAATCGTCTCTGTCGCACTCGCACGAATGGAAACACATTTTGACCCGATTCCTCAGACCCACACAAACACCACGCGAGAGCAAGGTGGATGAGGTAGTGCTTTGGATGTACCCTCTGAATATTAAATATTTTATATTCAGAAATTGGACTCGCATGAATTGAGGTCACTTTTATTTAGACGTATAACTTACTGCAGTCACATCTGTCTCTTTGCTTAGGTAAGATTAATTTTGTGTATTTTAAGATCACACATTTGTGGAGAATATTGGTTCCAGGATTCTCTATAGTCTGACCTTATATTATTTAATTGTATATATTTAATATCTTTATTAGACATTTGCGTGATAGTATTGCAATCCCTTTTAGAGCTGTATAGTAGCAGAATGCCTTTTGCGAGTGTGCTATACAAAGCAAAGACAGTTTAGTTTATGGAAGAAATATTTCTTATCATGGTATTCTAATTCATTGCAACCTCTTCTGTCCTGCCCTGTAGGAGTACTGGACACCAAACAACCCCATGCAGAACACCATCATCCTTCTGATCGAGCAGATCGTGGTGGCACTGGGTGGAGAGTTCAAGCTCTACCTGCCTCAGCTCATCCCACACATGCTGCGTGTCTTCATGCACGACAACAGCACCGGACGCAGTGTTACCATCAAGGTCAGTGCACCAATCCTAATGTGCAATTGCAGGCCGACACCCGGCTAGAGTAGTAGTGCGTCACTATTCTTCATGGATTTAAAAGTATAATTAGTGATCAGAGTGTAAACCAAAGGGTATCCCAACCACCACAATACAAAGACAAGAAGCTGCTGTCACTCCTGAACTGATTCACACAATAATACTGAGAACCACAAATTCTAAGACATTATTATTTCCCACGGTGTTTTTTTAAAACAGTGAAATATATTTTTTGTTTGTGATGAGATGAGAAAGGAACATTTTTTTTGCTTGTTTGCAAAATTTTCAACTATGTACGTATGTGGAGGTGAATGAACAGTCACACAAATAACAGGTTGAACCTTTAACTGTGACACATGTCAGAATCACAGATCAGATAAAAAAAATCCAAGGCCTGCTGCTCTCACGACCAGGCCTCAAGTAAGCGGATGAGGATAGATGGATGTAGAGAGGCACCGATTCTGATTTACCATTTTTTAAAAGTCTGACATTTAGAATTTTTTGAGTTAGAGAGTAGAGAGTTTTTTTTCCCGCAGATTTACGACTTTATAATCTCAGAGACGATTACAGTTTCTTTCTCGTATATTTGTGATTATTTTTCTCATAAAGTTAACACTTAATTCTTAGAAATTCTGTGTTTTTTCTCAGAATATACCCCTGCAGTGCAATGCTGGCTGGGTAATTTCCTTTTTTTTTTTTTACTTACAATGTCCCTAATACAGCATCATACATTTCAGCTATTGCAGCAGGAAAACTTTTAATTAATCAGGGAATAAAAAACAAAATGTAATAGAAATAAAGAATTAACATACTGAGAGGTTACAGAAATGAATCTAGGAAGGCTGGAATTGAAATTGTGGCGAAAGAGCTGGAACAGCTTTAAAAAGTGCTTTCAGAACCCTCAGCAGAGGCTCAACAAGTTAATGCTGCCATCAATGCTTTCGCAGCCGAGTGAAGAGCAATAGCTAAAATACTAAAAGAAATTTGGTCATTTGAAAATCCTTGCAATATATCAGACCGAACTGCCCGCTGTGGCCCAGTACAATACATTTGATAATGCTCTGAGAAAGGCTATAGTAGCCTAAACGTCTGTTATTACGAGATAATCACAGAGACTGTCGGCATAGTGTCGTGCTTATTTCTGTACCGTATGCAAATCTGGTGGATTATATCAGTTCTTCCTCTATTTGGTGGATCATATTTTTTCATTATACAGCTTTCCTTGTTCACCACAAAGTGCAGAATGCTTTGTGTAGTAAAAGAGTGTATGTTTCACCAGAATGGGCGTAGCCGTTGTGACATCATCCTTTGGTTTGTTGACTGCTGTTTTGAATCCTCGAGTTTGGCATTTTGGTTGTTGCCATCTTGACTTTTTGCACCAGTGGACGGACCATATTAGGACAGCGGAGGAGTGACGTAGAGACGTAGAGACGCCGTATACGGCTCTGGTAGCGGTGCCAACCTGTCAATCACAAGGTAGCCCACCTTAAAAGATACACTGCTTTATGGTCTACTTAATTCTAAATGGATCATAATTTACTAAATGAACACCATGCTGTATAAACTAGTGATTTAGGGCATAAACTCATGTTTACAATGTTTACTGAGGGAATAAATCAAGTGAGAAGTAGTCATTTTCTCATAGACTTCTATACAATCACACTTCTTTTTGCAACCAGAAGAGTCGCCCCCTGCTGGCCATTTGAGGTTAAAGACACGTCCGTCATTGCCTCACTCTTCAGAACGGAAGTTGCCGCCTAGAGCAACATGATACACATTCCTGCTGACGTGGTAACGCTATGCCACTATTCAGCAGCAGCAGTAATGCACCAGTAAAGGAAAGGAAGCAGAAGGCTGTCTGTAACATTTGTATTTTAAGGTACCCTGTTGAGTTTTATACAAATATCCAAACATTTCAGGCCAGCCTCGTGGCGCAGTCGGTAAGAAATGTTCTTCCCATTCCTTCTTTGTGCAACGGGACACTTTGCAGAGAGTTCAATGTAATTGAAAGGAATCGTGAGACGCGTGAAACTGCATGGCGAAATGATGCAAGCAGCAAAGAAGGAAGAATGCTGTTTTGCTGCAGTGAGTGCAAGACTCGGAGCTACAGAGGTAGATGACAGTAGCTCAGTCCGTAGGGATTTGTCCTGGCAAACGGGTGGACCAGTCGCTACAGAGGGTGGACTGGTAGCTGGAGAGGTGACAGTTCACTTCCTGGGCACTGTTGAGCAAGGCACCGAAACCCCTAACTTCTCAAGCGCTTGACTATGCGGCAGCCTCATCCCTCTGACAATCGCTCCACAACTAAATAATGTGTCCTGTGTCTGCATGTGTGTATTTCGGGCCGATGTGTGTCCCCCAACGGAATGAAAAAATGTAATTTGTGCGTTTGCTAAAACACAACTTGGCAAATTTGTCGACTGCTGTCTGTAGTGTGATAGCTCCAGCTGTGTATTTTTACGAACCGACCCACACTATTTCCTCCTCCCCCTGCTTTTGGCCACAACGCGTGAATAAATTTCACCAGGCGGATTTCACTCCGACTGTGCCGGAAAAAAAAAGTCTAAAAAGAGTAATTACGGACTAATTTAGATGTGCTTGTGGTTCACTTAAGAAGTAAAAGGTAGCTGTAATGGAGAGTTAAAAAGTGAAGGGTTACTGGCCATAATTGATAATGTCAGTGGAACAATAATATGCGTCGCCCCAGTCGATGTGTTATTTTTTACTGCTTTATTTTTTTGACTACCGGGCTGATTAATGGAGAAACAGTGACTTGTCGTGTGTCATAAATCAAGTGGAGAAAGCGCACTAACTAGATGGAGAAGATCATACGTCATATTTTGAGTAGTCACTTGAGTAGATAACTTAATTCTGCCTGCAATACCAAGAGGTGTGGTGTGTTTTTTAGAAGTGCTCCCATCACTCCACACTTTCTCAGAAGGCACAGGAGCTCAGCCCACAGTTGACTTATTGGGGTGCTGCTTTCTGTTGGCTGTTTCCGTCGATATCCATCAAAACCCATTCGGGTCATGAGCCATTCATTTGCAATGCAGCAGTTCAAAGACAGCATAGACCTGTAGCTACACACTCTCCCGTTTCAGCAGCTGCTGCCAGAGTTTGTCTGGGTTCTCTCTGACCCTAAATCACGGTTTGTGCTCAGACCACAGAGGCAGAATCAGAAGAATCACGGTCATCTAGCTCTCTCTCTCTCTTCTGGTGCTGTTTTGTCTCACAGTCTGCCGTATTAGATAACCCCGCAGCCCACAGTCTGGGTAGTCTATAACTCAGGCCTGGGTCTGGTACTTAATCTTAAGCACAGGATGGGGGTCACGAAATGGGGGGAACCGGGAATCGGGTTACCCTCTAGTCCAAAGGAGAAGAAAAGAAAAACACACTTCCATCATTTCATGGAGCTGTTCTTCGCAACCCCCTGAACACGCACACTCGCACACCTCCACCTCGGCTTCCTGCTGTCTCGCCGTGCGTCATTTAGACGTGGGGGCGGGGGAGCAGAAGTCATGGTGCGCGGTGGGGGCCGGGTTCGCTTCAACATGCGTCATTCCTTTAAAGACCATCTATCCGTGAACATTCCTCACACATGCTCCACACAACATGATGTAGCCATTAGATGAAACTACAGGAGAACTCACACAGCTAATGTTCATTTTCTTAAAGATGTGTTGTTAACAGCAAGCAACCGAGCACTGCCACCTCACTGATCCCCTTCATGAATTTATAACTTAATATTCAGTCATGAATTCATGCTGTTCATTGCATGCCACACTGTGCGAGTTGGGTCCAACAAAATCTTGTTTGAAAACTGTATCAAACCATTTCATATTAATATACAGGTATGTCAGATCTGTGTGAACCCTAATGCTGTATGCTTAACAACTCATAGCAATGCAGACTTTTCCTGGAAGACTAGCATGTGTGCTCGCACCTTCCTGAAATACAACACCGTCTGCGTTTCTTTAGGGATTCCTGAAAAGGCCATTTATTGATAACAAGCTCATTCAAAATGAACTGCTCATGTTAAGTGACTGAGCATTTAATTAGACGTTTAGATGTATCATCTCGATTTCAATGGACACCCAAAGCAAATGGGAAACGGAACAAGACACAACATTACATAACACAACGATGACAAAAACAATCAACACATAACTAAGAGAGAGGGAAAGAAAAGAGTACAAAGTTAGGCTAGATACAATCAAACAAACTGATCTATCTCTAAATAGAGGAATAGTGACAACATTGGCAATCTGTTATAAGAGAAGAAAACAAAGCATTTTTAATTATGCGAAATTATGACAGAGAATTGATATTTAAAGGTAAATTATTCCAATCAGAAGGAAACATTTTCCAGCCAACTACTTTAGATACACGTGGGACTGTAACGAGGATATGATCAGAGCGTCTTAGTGAATAATTTGACGTATAAGGAACAAAAAAAATGAATTGCTACTAGTGGAATTGACGTCTTATGCTCAGATGGAGCCATCGGAGTGTCTAACATTGTACAGAAAAAAGCCTGTTATAACTCTGCAGAGTCTGTTATGTGTAACATTTACGGGACGGAGATCAGTTTTAGTTTCAGTGTGCGCTTCTCTCTTGCAGATGCTCAACGCCATCCAGCTGTTTGGTGCCAACCTGGACGACTACCTGCACTTGCTGCTGCCTCCCATCGTCAAGCTGTTCGATGCCTCTGATGTGCCCCTGCAGGCCCGCAAGTCAGTACAGCACCTGGCTGTCCCTGTGCTAACGTAGTCTGTGTTTCCAATTATAGCGAGAGGTTTAAAGTCCTGTCTCACTGGGTCTCACACAGCAGTGGATTTTATGGAGTTAACATTGTTGTGTTATCTCCTAAATCTGATTTTGATTGTATACACACTTGGCCACAGAAATGGAAAAATCGATACTAGCCAGAAAGAAGAACAGGGTTTCACGTTTAGTCTCCTTTACAGCATGACGTTGTTATTTGCTCTTGTGTCGGGCTGCTCTGTCCTACTGCTGGTAAAGTGAAGCTGAGCGTTTTGTGTTTATCTCTCTTTCCTCTGTTTGGCTCAGGGTCGCCTTGGAGACACTGGACCGGCTGACGGAGTCCCTGGACTTCACCGACTACGCTTCGCGCATAATCCACCCGATCGTTCGGACACTTGACAGCACGCCTGAGCTGCGCGGCACCTCTATGGACACCCTGTCCTCGCTAGTATTCCAGCTGGGAAAGAAGGTAGCTACAGTTGTCCCTCGGGGTTCCCATTTGGGTGCGATTATTCCGACAGAGACTGCTTCCACCCTCCCTGCTGCCATGCTCCATATAACCAGCATTTCGGTAACCCTCCACCCAGCACCAGTCTTAATTACCGGTACTTCCTGCCAGACTGCTGATGTCATTGACCATTTGGCGGCGGGGGGTTGGTGTTTATGAGGGTGGATGAGGTCACGTTTACGCCCCCCCCCCCCCAGGCCATCCCCTCCCTTATCCCTAAACCCCCCTATGGTTTCTTTTTAGGCCTAACCTCAGAAGCACCAGCCCACGTGCGGCCTTGTCTGGCAACACAAACGTGCAGGGGAAGCTTTTGATCTGAGACTCATGGTGGTTAGAGACAAGTGCAGGATTTTCAGTTATTTGGCTTCTGGTGTCGGGAAAGAGCTAGCCAGACTAAACCACATAAATCACACACACACACACACACACACACACACACACACACACACACACAC